AATGTAATACTAGCTGCCTTCAAATTGTTCACAGTGTACAAATGCTGATGATAGGAAATCATTTTCTTTCTTCCTTACCTTGCCTTCTTTTAGGATGGCAATAGGAATTTCAGAACTTTGATTCTCTGCCTTGGTATACTCTCAACTTTGTGCTTTCAATGCTGATAGGATAGCAGTTACGTTTACATCCTTCATTCTCAAAAAGGGGGAGATGGAATGGTTACTTAAATGTTATGGGGAAAATATCCCTTTTATGCTTTCAAGTTATTATTACCACTGATTTCTAACTCTTCCAGGCCTTACCCAAAGGTGTTCCATGGTAAAAGTATGCTTATTCACACCTTAAAATAACTTACAGAAATACTCCCATTCTCTCTCACTCCTTGTACCCCCAAGCCTGCCTGGCTTTACATTCCCGAAAAGACTGGTCACAAAGGATCATTTCCCAGTTAGGCTACCTTAATGACCAATTTCTCACTCACCTCCTGTTTTTGAGATCAGTTTCTACTCTAAAAACAAAAGAGCTTTCAAGAAAAATACTAGATCAGTTTATAAACAGAGGTTGACATAAAGTCACTACAAGGAAAATGTAGATCTCAAAATGTTCTAACACATAACCCATCCTTCCCTTGGTGGGACAATTTCACAAGTCACAGAAAAATATTTTTCATTTTAGAATAGATTTTAAGAGAGCCTTTGCCAAGAGCCAGTTCTTTAAATGTTCAATTGAATTTTAAGCAGTATTATACATGTCCAAGAACATCATGCTATTTTTAGCTAACAGGTAGGGTTGCTGTGTCTACAACCGTTTGGAGCAATCAGGAATGAAACCATTAAATAGCATCTCTCACTGTGGTATCTTATCATTTAGCATTTCTATTTCTATTTTAATATTTTCCAAAGCCTTATCATAAAAAACACCTGTAAAGCACCCATGCTAGGCACAATACAAAGTTCAAATAGAAAGAAACAGTTCCTATACTTCATTATGGGTTAAACCCACATTAAGCAAACCAGATATATGAAAGAATCTTGGCTGGGCATTATGGCTCATGCCTGTAATCCCAGTGCTTTGGGACGTCGAGGTGGGAGGATCACTTGGGCCAGGAGTTCGAGGCCAGCCTGGGCAACATAGTAAGACCCTGTTTCTATAAATAAATTAACAAATAAAAAAAAAGAATTTCACAGAGCATTCTCAAGTTGCCACCAACTTCCTAAGTGTCCAGGGGAGAAACATTAGGAAGCAATTGTCCTAAACCCATCATCTTTCTAATGCTTGCACACCTTTTATGTATTAAAAGAAGAGGGGCAAGGAAAATGTTCTAGGCCAGGAGCGGTGATCCCAGAACTTTGGGAGGCTGAGGTGGGTGGACTGCTTGAGCTCAGGAGTTCAAGACCAGCCTAGGCAACATGGCAAACCCCCATCTCTACTAAAAATACAAAAATTAGGCTGGGCATGGTGGCTCACACCTGTAATCCCAGCACTTTGGGAGGCCAAGGCAGGAAGAATGCTTGAGCCCAGGAGTTCAAGACCAGCCTTGGCAACATGGTGAAACCCCATCTTTCCAAAAAATACAAAAATTAGCCAGGCGTAGTGGCACACACCTATAGTCCCAGCTACTCAGGAGGCTGAGGTGGGAGGATGGCTTGAGCTTGAGAGGCGGAGGTTACAGCGAGCCGAGATCGTGCTACTGCACTCCAGCCTGGGAGACAGAGCCTGACACTGTCTCACGCACACACAAAAAAGTTCTAAAACTTACTGTGGTGATGGAGGCACAACCATACCTAAAAGCCACTGAAATATATACCTAAATGAGGGAACTGTATGGTAAATGACTTCTATCTCAACACCATTTTAAAAAGGAGACAAATTGTCTTACTCTGATTGTTCTAATTAGTCAAACCTATTTTTGAAGCTCTCATGCTAAAGGCTATCTAGGTAAAGGCTGCACTAGTTTGGCAAGGGCGCCTCAGAGGCCACCATGGAGATCACTCTAACCTTCCCCTCCATGTCCATCTTTCTTTCCCTTACACTCTTCCTAATCTCTCCTCTGTTATTTCCCCAGTCTCCTTGCTGCTCCTCCACTTTTAACTAGGTGTTAGGTTCCTCAGGTGTTCACAAGCATGGTCTGTCCCAACTAGTAGACCTCAAGATTAAGCTGATTTGCTGACCCTCTGATGCTGACCTTCGGTAACTTTCCCTTCCTAGGCAAGTTATATCTTGGTTCTCTTGTCATTGTTTCAGTATGGGGAATTGGACCACTTGATCCTTTCCAGCTCTCACGTTCACATAAAGAAAAAAAATTCAAGTAATGAACACTTACTTGGCCAATCACATGCAAAGTCTCTTGCCAACCGACATACATGTATTTGGATTATTCACTTTGTAAATACACCATGATGCAATCCTCTGAAGAACCACACTTATTTATAAATTGATCAACATGGAGTCCTTATTTTTAAAAACTAGCACTTTATCAAAGAAAATTTAGAGCCCAACACAGAATGCTTGACAATCCCTCTGGACCAGTCTCCAGGGATCTGTTTTCAAAGGGGGGGAAAAAATAAAAGCTTTTGCATGTTGGGGACTTGTTGGATTTACCAAACCAAAGGAGGAAGTAAGATTGATTGGGGTGGCAGAGCCTTAACAACAGTGGTTCACCTAAATCCTAAAAGAAGAAAGGCCTTATTTGGCAAGTGGTAGAAAGAACTAGCATAAAACAGCACCTCCACCTACATTATAAACTCTCAGAAATATGCTCAGAGAGCAATAAACACTGCAGGAATCCCCTTACCCTGGACAACTTGCAGCTTTTATGCAAACCAGTTGCATTCCCCCAACAAGTCATAGAAATATGTAGTCACTAGTATCCAGCATACCCCACACACATTCACAGTATTGTTTCCATGTGCCCAACATCAGAGAGCAAAACCGAAAGAAACATCCATTTCTCCTACAACATACACACACAAATATGCAAGAAAAACCATTTCCTTTGCAGAACCTGTGTTGTCTAAGTTGTGGGCATGAAAGGCATAAATATTAGTTGCTCATAAAAATCAGACGGTTAGCTCTGTACTGGAAAGCGAACAGCACACACATAAATCATAAAAAAACAATAACCCTAAGGTGCGTTCCTCATCAGTAAGCTGAAAACCAAACAAGGAGAGAAACGACTCCAAGTGTCCATGTGAATCCCTCTTTCCCATTACCTCAGACCAACAAGCTCTCTCTCCTGCGAGTTACCTCCTTACACTTCTGTCCTCGATCAGAAGAGCCTCGTGGAAAAGGTCGCAGGCTCTCTCTTCTTTCCCTTCAGGCTCTTGAGGCACTGAAGGAGCATGGGGGGAGGGGAACGGAAAGGACAAAGGTAGGCGCTTTCCATCCCTCTCAGCTTGGCGACAGGGCTCCCAGCCTCTCCCCCCTCTCATCACGGAAATAGAGCACCTGCCAGGGAGAGGTCAGTCCCTTCCACCTTAGTAACCGGCCCACAGGGCCTAGGTGTCCCAGGAGCCCAGGCGCTGCAGCCCTAGGGGACAAAGGGGAGGAGGCGAAAGAAGTCGGGAATGGTACGAATCCCTTGCAAACAAAAGGGAGGGGGCAGAATACCAATCCGTTCGCGGCTGTTCTCAGAGGTGGCCAGGTTGGGTGGAGAAATGGGTTTCGGGGGAGGGGAAGATTTAGAAAATTCCTCCGGGGCAAGGGATTAGGGAGCTGCTTGGGGGCGCAGCAGCCGGCAGGAAGGGGGCTGAGACAGGACAGAGGCCCTGGGGCGAGAAGGGGGCACAGCTCGCGCTGGGGGAGAGGTGACGGCCAAGAGGTGAAGGCCAGACTGGGCCCAGTGTGGGGTGAGCGGCAGCAGAGCCCCGCGCGGCGCTCCGAGGGGCCCTGAGGAGGGTCTCAGAAGGAGGCTGGGGGCACGCAACGAAGGCATTCGGGGGAGAGGGCAGAGTTGGGGGACACAGTGTTGGAAAAGAGGCTGAGAACAGAGCCGTAGAGAGGTTAGGGGTGACTGCGAGGGGGCCTGACCCCCGTCCGCCCCACCTCACCTGGCGCCGGGTCGGAGTCCAGGTCTAGTGCTGAGAAAGCGCCAGCTCCAGCCAGTCCCTCCGTCCCGCGCGGGAGACCACGGACACAAAGCGGGGCGCGCGGGAGGAGGGGAGGAGAGAGGAGGGGGAAGGAGGGAGGAGGAGGAGGAGACGCCTGAGGCGCGCGAGTGGGGGAAGGAGGGGCACCCGCCGCCCTCCTCCTGGGTCAGGGGGCGGGGCATGCGGCTGGAGGCCGTGCTCAGCCGGCCAATGGCCACTCCACCCGCCCGCAGGCTAGGGCGCGCCTTCCCGCGGCTCACCTCGGCACCTGGGCCTCGGTTGGCCCCAGCCAATCAAACGCCTTTATTTGCAATGACCAGCCCCGCCCATTCGCCCCAGCCAAGGGCTGCTCACTGAGAATACAAAGAAGGCCCCCCGGAGGGGAGGGAGTAGACTCCAGCTCGCCTATCCCAAGGGCATGGTATCACCTTTTCAGCGCGTTTATGGGTCTTTCACGGTCATCTTGAGGGGAGGGGAGTGGGGGGTCACAGAGGTTTGGCCCAAGATCACTTAAGAGGTCGGATCTCTTCTACCTGAGGTCCTTCTAACCAAGAGCTGCTCTCCTCTTCCAGGGAACACAGTTCCCTGTCTTCTCCTGTGGGCCCTCCGCCCCCTCCCCTTTTTCCAATCGCCCTAATCTTTGGATGCTGCTTCCCGTAGGCTGCTGCCCACTACTGGCCTTCTCCTGCACTGCAGCCCACATCAGCAGGCTCTGAGCACAGCCTTAATTGATGCTTCCAAGCTGCCCAAACCAACCCCTATCCAGAAGGAAAAGGAGAGAGGAAGAGGTTACTGCCCTAGGGTAGAAGGGACCTGGTCAAGTGGCTTTGTTACCTAGGATGGCAAAAAGCCAGCACGTAATGTAAGTCTAACTCCCCCACATCATCTCTTCCCACCTTCCCTTCTCCTACCTTCAGGTCTGTACTGGGCCACAATGGTGACTGACTGGCCGGCCCGTTTCAGAGCAGCCGCAGCCTGCTCATGAGTTGCATTCCTCAGATTCACTCCATTCACCTGTCCAAAGAGAGAAGCTGTGAGCCACCCCAAAAGCAAGAAAGGGGGTCCTCTGCACTAGCAGTTAGGTGAGGGAAATGGGTACCCCACCCCTAAGCCTGTTTAGATGCCTTTCCCAATATTCCAACCTTGCCCCTAAAACAAGGCCTAAAGGATACGACATCTCTAGTGTAATAATTATCTTCATAAAGGTCGAATGCCAATCAGGGTTAAGATCCAAGAGGCATTCATTTCCTCCTCAAAGATAAGTCTGGTCCTGGTCCCTGTCACTAAGGATGTCTACAAAAACAAGATAAGTTTTCTCCAGTCCTTAGCCCTCCCCTCATCTCAAGAAGCATTCCTCGGAGGAAGTAAGGTCTCTCGCTCTCCAGTTTACACTGGCACAGTTCCCATCCTCCCACCTCTCCTTTGTCTCCTCACCGATAAGATCCGGTCTCCCCTGCGCAGCTCCCCACTCAGGTCAGCTGGGCCTCCTGCCAGGATGAAGGAGACAAAAATGCCTTCTCCATCCTCTCCTCCTACGATGTTGAAGCCCAGGCCTGTGGAACCTTTGTGCAGGATGATCTTGCGGGGCTCTCTGGTGGGAAAGGAGTGGAGGAGTAAGGACTAGGTAGATACGGACTGTTGTCCTTTGAGGGCCAGCCTGGAACAAGGTCCATACTTGCTGTAGGGAGTGAGGATGTGGTTCCCTGTGTATGATACCCAGAGCCTCCCTTTGTCTCCTGAAACCTGCTTGGCTGCTGTTCTGTCAGGTGCCAAGTTTCAGTTCCTCTTCCCTCCCTTCTTTCCAAGGGCTTGCAGTCAACTTCCCAGTGGACAGTCCCCTACTCTCTCGGGTCAACAAATTCCTACCCCGAACTTCAGAGACCAAATCTCAGAGCCCACTCACTGGTCCTCTTCCTTCCCAGATACTCCTATCCTACCAATCCGTGTGATGGACCCTGGACCACAAGAAGAGGAAGCAGTTGGGGCAGTGAAGTCACCCTGGGGTTGACTGCACTCATCATCCACAGGAAGTGCACACTTACTTCACAGATACTCTTCTGCAGTCTCAAAATTTCACCCATCAACTATGACCCCTCCTACCTGCTGCCCCAACAACATATTTAATCAGCAGCTAACACTATGTAGTCCCAGGGGGTTGCAGCGCCTGGGTTCTTAGGGGGACCCCAGGTTCCCAAAAGGAGTTTAGAAGCCAAACTGAAGACAGCAGACAAGCACATGAAAAATGCGAGTAAAACTAACCACATCTAACGAAGCCCTCTGTAAAAGGTCACAGTGCCATCAGCCCAACTCCCAGGGCACGTTCCCGGCCCACCGCCTTCACTTGTTACAAGCATCTTTCCTCGGAGGAGCCCAAAGCCCCAAGCAAGACTCTTCCTTTCTTGCTCCCAGTCTCAGAGGCGAGGCTCCCTCCCTGAGTTCCAGATGCTCTTGCTCCTAGCCCTCCACTCCTACCTGGCATCCCCTCCGGGCCGCAGGGAAAGGAGCGGCCAGGCCCACCTCTGCGAAGCCCTCCTCCAGGCCGAAGCGGAGGCGGAGCCCAAGCCCGTGGCCAAGCCGGGGCCCTTGGAGTACTTGCGGGCCCTCTCCATAGCTCCTCTGTCTCTCCCCCGGCCGCCTACCCTTCCGGCTCCACTGCTGCCTGCCCGCCAGCCTCCCGGGCCCCACCCTGCAAACCTGTCCCCCGGAACCCCGGCCGGCCCGACCAGTTCCAGGCCCCGCGCAGCCGCCGCCGCCGCCGCCGCCAGCGGGGCGGGGCGGGGCCGTTGCCGGCGAGGCCACCGGGCCGGTCAGAGTCCCGCCAGCCTCACCCGCTGAACTACTTTCTTCCCTAATTTGAAATGGTTGCAGCAGAGCGGGCTGCAACTATCTCAGGGCAGGAAACTCCGCTGCCCTCACCTCCTCAGCCCCCTAAACACTCCACCCCATCGTTTCTTTATCTGCACTTTTGGACCGGGGCCACTCACTCGGCACTCCCCCTGATGGTAGAACTTGTCCCTGCAGCCACTTCTGTCCCTCTCTAGGTCCCCAAGGCCTGAGAGAGGGCCTCGGACCCCAAAGCCGGGAGTGGTGAGGGTCTTACCCTCTTCTTTTCCATACTACAAGGAGCCTGTGGCCGGCCAGACACGGAGAAAGGGATTCCTCCCCTCCCCAATTTCTGGGTAGATTGAATGGGATGTTGAGTGGGGGGGGGGGGTGGTCTTACCTGGTGAAGTCCTCCTCAGCCAGCATGTGCCTGGGAATAGGAGAGTAGCGGGTGGGGGGAACCTGAGGAGGAGCAGGGTAGCTGACCTTGCTCTCCACAGCCCCGAGATAACCCAGGCTGGAATTATGGCTTATGTGGTTGTCAGCCAAGGCAGTAAAAGCTGGAATCAAGAAAGGGAGACAAAAGTTCAGAGACTGGTCGAGGCAGGTACCCCAAACTCCTCCAAGGACTTTCCCCCACACCCCACTTCAGGTGCAAAAGAGACCCAGGGATGCTGATTCCTCAGGCCGCACCTCCCCACTCCATCCACCCGCCACCCAGGGTTCCTCCTCCGCAGTCCCTTTCTAAATCCTTGGCTCACTCCTGTGAGTCTTAGAAAGAGCTGAAGTCAAGGCAGTCTACAAAGAAAGGCATGACTAGAGGTGTGACTAATAATAATCCCTCACATCTCTATAGCCTAATACAGTTTTCCAAGGGCTTTCTCATCCATGATCTCATTTGATCCTTGCAGCAGTCCTATGAGGAAGGCAGCACATACATCATTAGCTCCTTTTTGCCAAAGAGGAAACAAAAAACAGGTGAAAGGGACTTGTCTAAGGGAACCCAGCTCTAAGGGACAGAGCTGGGGGCCAGGCATGGTGGTTCACGCCTGTAATCCCAGCACTTTGGGAGTCCGAGGCGGGCGGATCACGAGGTCAGGAGATTGAGACCGTCCTGGCCAACATGGAGAAACCCCGTCTCTACTAAAAACACAAAAAATTAGCCAGGCGTGGTGGCAGGTGCCTGTAGTCCCAGCTACTCGGGAGGCTGAGGCAGGAGAATTGCTTGAACCTGGGAGGCGGAGGTTGCAGTGAGCCAAGATCGTGCCACTGCACTCCACCCTGGCAACAGAGCGAGACTCTGTCTCAAATAAACAAACAAAGAAACAAAGACAGACCTGGGATCCGGACTCAGTTCTGTGCACTATCCTCTGCAGCTTCTCTTTTTCCTCTTTTTAAAATTCACTGTCCATAGAAGTTGTCAAAAATTGCCAATGCTGACTCTATGGCAAGTCTTCACGGTGGGGCACTGAGTAAAGTTTTCAATGAATAATAATGGCACCTCAGATAAACCTTATTGGCTGCTACAGTGCCACCACTGAGCAAAGCTGCTTGGCCTGTCTTAACAAGGGGTATGAACTTCTTCCCCTCCAGAAACCAGGGGACAGAGCTTTAGGCCAGGGACAGGGGCTGATGAGTACGTACTGCTGGCGTAGTCAGGGGGAGCGTACATGTCGTTGAGGTGGAGGCTGCCTGGCTTGGCCACCTTCAAATACACCATATCAGATGTGTTCTTCAGTGAGGCCACAGCTTCCTCGTGCCTCACATCCTGCAGATTGGTGTTGTTCACCTAGAAGACGAGAGGCCTCAGGCTGGGACTTGGGAGAAGGAGAGGCTTCTCCAGGGAACCCGAGGGATGCCTTTTCAGTGAAATTCAACAGCATGCTAACAGAGGCCCAAGTATAGCGCTGTGAGGAGCAGAGGCAGGAAGTAGGGGATAGGGCAAGACCCTGGCCACAGAAAGAAGTAGGGCCTTTGTATCTGGGCAAACACAACACAGATGATAACTCTTGAAATTCCCCCATGATGCCTCATCCCTGAGTGAGGTTTAGGCAGAGTGAGGGGTACTGGAGCTCCTCCTCCCTACCCTACCATTTGGGCATCCCCGTGAAGTCTGTCTCACCGCCAGCAGCCGGTCCCCGATCTGTAGGCGTCCATCCTTCTGAGCAGCACCCCCCTCAATGATCTTGGTGATGTAGATGCTGTTGTCTCCTGGGATGTGCTGGTTGCCAATACCCCCAGCAATGCTGAAACCCAGGCCTGAGTGGAAGCCAGCAGGGGGTAGGAGAGGCCCACAAGGAGAGGTTAAAGTGTTGTCGATCCCAAATCCAAGCCCCCTCCCCCAGCCAACCCACTGGCCCCACAGGAGCTCCCTCCAGGGGATCCAAACACTAAGCTGCCATCCCCAGATGAGTAAGGGTGAGGCCTGAGGTCAAAAAAGTAGGCTGTGAGTTGGAACAGGGGGAGTCAGGCAAGGAGTAAGGCCATTCCCTTCCAATTCCCTATGGGGCCAGATGGGATCTGGGGCCTTGGGCTCTGGCTGGAGCACAGGAACCTGGAGGGCCGCACCTTTGGGCCCTTTGAGCAGGTTGACCTCCATGATGGTCTCGGGTGGAGGCTGTCGTCTCCGCACCACCAGTCGCACCACAGGGCCTGCCTCCTTCAGCGCCTCCACCGCCCGGCTGTGTACCACCTCTGACACGTCCACCTCATTCACCCGCAGCACACAGTCATTCACCCTGTGGGGGAAGCCCGAGACGCATGACACTGTGCCCCCACCCCTCCACTCCCTCTCCCGCTTCCTCCCACTTCTCTGTCCTCCCCTCCTCTGCCCTCCCACCCTGCCCTCAGATCTAATGGAAGGGGTCATCCTGCCAGGCAGGCTTTCCTCCCCTCATCTCTATCCTGTCCTTGCCACCCACAACCCTGCTTCCAGGCCATCTCACCCCAGCCTCCCATCCATGGCAGCTGCTCCACCAGGGATAATCTTGGTAATAAAGATGCCAGGGTCATCAGGGACATGGGGATTGTCGATGCCACCTGCAATACTGAAGCCCAGGCCAGAGTTGCCCTGCAGAAGTGGGAAGAAAGGCACAGTCTGTTCTCTCTGAGGGCAAAAAAGAGAGTTCTGGGTACCCCATCTCCCCTTATGTCCCAGAGCTAGTTCTCCCGGTCTCAGAAGGGGCCATGGCAGGCTGGGCACATTTGTCAGAAACCCAGCCTCTGCTGACCATTCTGGGAAACCCATCCCCTCCCCAATACCCCAGGCCTCAGTGAACAAGGTCAATTAATATTTGCTAGTGAGTTGATTGATTGATGCAGTGTAGCGGCCTCTGAGGGCCGCTGTTTCTCCATCTTCTTAATGCAGGTCCCCCCATGGGTCTTGAAACCATGATTCGGGGGTCTCCCCTCTCTTGGCTCCAACCCTCTCCTTCCCTTTCCGCTTTTCCCCACTGGCAGACTCACCCGCTCAAGTACAATTTCCTCATATTTGAACATGCCATCGCTGCCATTCACCTAGGAGGAGACACAGGCAATTCCCTCAGTGCCCCCTGCCCTTCCAGTCATCTGCCCCTTGGTCAATCTGCCTCCTCCCCTACTCCCACAATGTAGAAGAACCCAAGTGCACCCCAGGTCGCCTCTTGGCCACAGATGAGGACAGGCTAACCCAGAAGAGGCCACTCCCCACTCACCCCCCACCCCTGCTTTGCTTCCAACCATATCAGGCCAAACCCAGCCGCTCATTTAGCCCAGATCAATTGTCTGAGACTGAGCCAGCCAGTGATGCACTCACCGAGAGGCTGGGCTTCAGTGCCTCGGGGTTCACTAGGAGGAGTGCAGGGCTGGCCTAAGGGGGATGGCAGAGATGGAGCATGGCGGGCAAACCATGCCACACCCAGTGTCCATAGGGGATACCCAGTGGCCTAGACAGATAACCCTTCCCCTTTTGAACCACAGTTCTCCCTGACTGGGGGATCATAGACTCCCACTGTGCCCAAACTGGAAGGACAGCAGACATCATCTTGTCTTATCCCCTTCATGTGACAGTAGGTGACACGGAGGCGCAGAGAAGACATGGGATGTGCCTAAGGGCACACTGGGAGTTAGCGGCAGAGCAATGGGATCTCTAGGTGTTCTTTTGATTACAGTAAGCTCTTAAGGCCCTTGATGTTTTGGTCACTCATCCCCATACCCCAGCAGAGCTCATGGGAGAAAGGACAGTTGCCCCACTTTGGAGCACCTCGTGAGTCTTCACTCTATACCTCCTTCTTGGACTCCAGGAACCCAATTCCTCGAATAGGCAGAAGGAGTCAAAGTCCTAATCCATTTTCTACCAAAGGATTTTTGGCCCTGAGCCCTTTGTGTTTCTCAGCAGAAAGGGTGAGGGTGGGAGCTGGTCAGGAGTCAGAGACAAAGCCAAGGGTGGGACTGGAGCAAGGTAAACAAGATTCTCCATGAGGGAGAAGTTGGTGACCCACAGACTGACTGGCAGCAGAGTCCGTGGTCTTCAATATGCAGTAGCCATGCAAGAAGAGGCAAGGGAAGGGGTCAGAAACACAGGGGTGATTTGACCAACCCACAGAGATGGCCTCCCAGACAGGACATGTGTGTATCCATTTGTCAAGTGAAAATGTGATTCTGGACATACAAGCAGCACCTGCCTGCTAGCTCTCACTCTTACCTCCAAGAATGGAAAAGCCCCCTTGCCTGTCTCCCCAGGTATCCTGGCACCCCTCCCCCACCTTTCTCTGGCTATGTTGTCCCTTCCCTGACCTCTGGCCTCCTCCTCAGAAGCGGGGAGCTGGAAACCAGGGTGGGGGCTCCTCCACATGTCCTGCTCTGCTTCCCCCATCCCACCTCCACCCCACACAGCTTTGGCTTCAAGAAGCAGAGAGGAGGAGAGGGGGAGAGGACTAGCTTGTCATGCCTCCACCATTTCTGGGCTGGCCCTACAGCTGTGGGAGTTGGTGGGAGGACTCCAGCTGCAGCCTTACCCTGGTCTGTGACCCCAGGAAGAAGAACTGAAGGCTCTTTAGAGACCCGAAACCAATACAGCTGCCTTAAGTACCATGCAACAGACACAAGCAAAAGGACACCCATGTGGCTCTTGTGTGCATTTGGTGTACCATGTGTGCCCACATGTGACAAGCCAGGCCTCAAGCCCAGCCCAAGTGGTACCCAGAGGCTTCCCGTTCCCAGTGGTACACCCTCTAGCTCCCACCCCGACTCAGGGACCTTGTTCTCAGGGCCAAGAGCCATCCAGGGATCAGCCCTGGCAAAGAAACCTTGGCCAATTGACCCAGCCTGGGATTGCCACCTGTCTCCCAGCCAGGCAGGACAAGCATAAGAGGGTGTTTGCAAGGGAAAGGCCTCCAGGACAGAGGGGGCAAAGGAGAGAGAGGGACTCGCTGGAAAGGGCAAGAGGCCAAGGCAAGGGATGTGGGGAAGCAGTAAGTGTGGACAGACAGAAGGTCAGAACCGAGGGCTCTTCTCCCCAGGAAGTCTCCACCTTTGCCTCTGAGTCAGAGCACATCCTATCCCCAGAGGGCAGAGGCAGCCAGAACGGTCACCAGCTTGGGGAAGTCATCACCTGCCCTCAACAGCAAAGCCTCCTCTTCCTCTCTCCCCATCCTAGGAGCTGCAGAGCCAGATAACCAGACAGGCCCTCCGCCTTGCGTGCCAGGGACCTGGCTCTGCCAGCCCAGCCTCCATTTTGCTGCTTCTCCCACAGATGCTCCTTCCATTTTCTAAGCTGGCAGTTTAGGCTGGGAGTGGAAGCCGGAGTTGTGCCCAGCACCCAGGGGCTCCCAAGCTGTGCCAAGTCAAGGCTGGGGGGGCTAAGCCCTCTCACATCTGGAGGTACCCAAGGGGGACATGCCCCACTGGGGCCAGTCCCTGCACCAGGGCAGCTGCCCCTTGCCGGCTCCAGACACCATGCCTACTCTAGAGCAAGGAAGCTTGCTTCAGTTCCTTCAGATCTCCCCCCCGCCACCCCACCCCGGCACACACACTTCAGAGCTGCTTGGACAAAAGAGTCTGTCCTTCTCAGCAGCCTCTCAGCCTTGCTTGGGACGTGTCTCTCGCCTCCTTCCTCTCCCCTCCCTTGCCTGTCAGTCGCCTCTCACCAGAGACAACACACACACACACACACACCAGGCACACGCGTGCACACTCTTGCAGCCACATGCTCACACACATATACATGTAGCCACACACACAAACACAGCCATCCCTGCAGCCTCCTCTACAGACACCTCTCCACATTCAGAGTGACATCTCCACACATCCATGTGCACATCCACACACAAAGGGACTGGGACGGAGGGGGACTCATGGCATCGAGGGATGAAGCTCAGTGAGCCGGGCACATGGGCTCCTCCACACGGATTCCCGGCAGCTCCACTGTCTTCCTCCACACACCCCAACATACATACACACACATATGTCCCCCCCCCCCAGAGCACCCTGCCCCCTCCTCCCCTCCTGGCCAGACCCACACCACACACAGCCCCCGCAGAACCTCCCGCCCCCTGCCAGACACAGAGACATTGCCAAACCCCCACACTGAGACAAACCCAATTCCCCCACACAGGAAAATGTGCCCCTCCGCCATGCCCTTACCCCCTGACACACACGGCTCCTCCCAATCTCCTTCTAATGAAGACCCCCAAACAGACACACACAGGGAACCACACATTTCCCACCACCTCTCTTTGCCCAGCTGCAATGCTAGGGCTCCGGGTCCACAGGCTTGGAGCCCCAGCGACCCCTACTGCATCCCAGGCCTCTAGGCCCCCACTCTCCAGCCCTCCTGGGTTGCCCCACCGCTCCCCCCGCCGCTGGTCCATACCTGCTCATACCAGTCCCGGTTGGTACAGGTGCACTCTGGCCACCAGCTGGGGCCGCTGCCGTTGAGTTTGGGGGTGCTCTTGCCCGGGACTGGCTTAGGAGGCACCGGCCCCACATCCCGGCCGGTGGGGATGAGCTTGGCCTTGGTGCGAGGGGTGGGGGTGGCCCCCGCCTGCGAGGGCAAGGTCTGCGAGCTGTAGCCCCCATAACCCGCGCTGGCGCCGTTGCCCCCACCTGGCCCGTAGGGGTCGGGGACCTGCCAGTCCCCGTAGCCCGGAGGCTCGAGGCGCCGCAGGGCGGCCAGGCGGGTCACCTCATAGCACTCAGGGCACTTACAGCAGTGCTGGTGCTTGTGCATGGCACTGCCCCCCGCGGCTCGGACCCCCCAGCCCACGCCGGTTTCCACGCCGCCGCCACCGCCGCCGCCACCGCCGCCGCCGCCGGGCTCCCGGGCACACTCACACTGCTCGGACCAAGAAGGGGGGGGCACCCGTGGGGGCGCCCGGGCTGAGCGGGGCCTGGGGCCGGGCGGGCGTCCCGGGGCCTCGGCCCCCACGCTGCCCCGCACCCACGGCTCCCCCTCCAGCACTGGCGGCTCCGTGTCGCCCGTCGTGGCTCCTGGGCCGAGGCCCAGCGGCAAAGAAGAAGCGGGAGCTCAAGCAGAGACTGGGTGCTGTGCGGACCGCTTCTGCTCTGGTCCCCAGGATGGATCTGAGTGGAGTCAAGAGCATCTCTCCCTGGCTCCCTTCTCAGTTGATTCCAGCCAATCAGCGCGCAGAGGCAGGCAGCGGCAGCGGCAGCGGTAGGAATGCTAAACAGCGGCTCCTTAAAGGAACAGAGGCAGTGGCGCCCCCAGGCTCAGCCCCAGTTCCCCCAGTCTCTAGGGAACTGTTGTCCCCAGGGTGGGGGCAGAGGACGTGGGCCACCAGAGAGCTCAGGCACCCGATCTTGTGCCCTTATATCGCCAATTTTAGCCTGTCCTCTGCCCACTCCACCCCATCCCACTTCCAAGAGGGAGTTGCAGGGAGATGCTCAATGGGTCCCCAGGCTTGCTCTGAGCTGGGGCCACCAGAAGTAAAGACGAGGTAGCAGGATGGACAGAAGGGACGTTGGAGCAGAGTGAGGGAGGTGCTTTCTCTTACAGGGGACCAAGGAAGAAAGCAGCATATGAGGCCCGCTGTCCTGTCAATACCTCCTCCACAAGACTATTGTTCTATCTCTAGGCCCTGAAATTACTGTGACCTCACACTTGACCTTCTACCATCACCAGTAAGGAACTCAACCCTAGAACAGGGATTAACACAAAGCTCTAAGTCCTTGTCCCTGGCCCACAAACCCCTATCTCCTCCACTCCACCCCTGCATGGTTATGACGGGGGAAGGAACTTCAGGATATCAAGATGAGAGTCCAGGACAGGTGAAAAGGTAAGAAGGGATTTGAAGGAGAGAAACCCTTCTGTGGGTCTGGAATTGAGCTTAGGAATACTTGTCCAAGGACATCTCCTCACCTTCTCCTGGCTCAGCTTGTCGAGGGAATGGAGGAAGGATGACGTACATGAAAGACTATCTTTTTTGCAGTTCTTGTTTTGTTTTTAGCTACCAATTATTGGGTCTTTACAAAGTCCTAAGTGCATAACATGCAAACCCAAATCCTACCAAGCTGATGCTATTATTATCTTCATTTTACCAATGAGAAATTGAGGCTCAAAGATATTAACACAGCTAGGTAACACAGCTGGAAGTGACAGAATCAGGATGCAAATCCTGATTATTTAACTCCAGAGTCCATGCTGTGAACCACTCTAGTACGACAGGTCTATTCTAAGTTCTCCTGCAGAATTTACATCTCAGTTAAATTCAGCAAATATTCATTGAGCACCTACTCCATGCAAGACCTTGACCTAGGTATTAGGGATACAGAGATTCTTTTCTTTTCTTTTTTTTTTTTTTTTTTTTTGAGACGGATTCTCATTCTGTCACCCAGGTCGGAGTGCAGTGGTGTGATCTCAGTTCATTGCAACCTCAGCTTCCCAGGTTCAAACGATTCTCCTGCCTCAGCCTCCCGAGTAGCCAGGACTACAGGCTCCTGCCACCATGCCTGGCTAATTTTTGTATTTTCTTTGTAGAGACAGGGTTTCATCATGTTGGCCAGGCTGGTCTCGAACTCCCGACGTCAAGTGATCCACCCACCTTGGCCTCCCAAAGCGCTGGGATTACAGGTGTGATCCACCATGCCCGGCCCTCAGAGATTCACTCTTAATTCAACAAATATGCATGGAACACTTGCTATGTGCCAGACACTGTTGTAGGATTTGGGGATATAGCAGCAAACAAAATAAAACAGAACAAACAGAACAAATCCCTGCCCTTGGGGAGCTTACCTCGTAGTGAGAGGACACAGACAAAAATAAACACAATAAATAAGTGAATTATGTAGTACAGTACGTCTTCATTTAATGTTGTTGGTAGATCCTTGGAAACTGTGACGAACTGAAACAACGCATAACAAAACCAATTTTACCATAGGCTAATTAACATAAACAAGAGCTAAGTTCCTATGGCATATTTCTGGTCACAAAACATCACCAAGCTTCTAAATAAAGACCCAAAACACTTCTGATATTAAACATTGAAATAAATATGAGCTATGCACACATATAGAAAGATTAATAAAAATAAGTAAATAATTACCTAATTTTTGGTGAACCAGTGAGTGACAGCAGTGGAAGTGGTGGTGGGTTGAACCAAGGAATAAATGTATGCAAAGTGAAAATTGTAAGGAGCACCTCCCTACCACCATGCACTTCAAAAGCAAACAATCACGAATATGGTGGACTCGATGAGCACTTTCTTACCTCATAGTTTATTGTGCATTTGTATGATTATCAACTACTTTACACATTTTTATTTTACAATACTTTGTATTCATCCATCCATCCATCTATCCATCCTTCCATACATCCATCCATCCATTCATTCATTTTTCAATCTGCTTATTTCAGTTCAGGGTTAAGGGTGGCCAGAGCCTATCACAGCAGCTCAAGGTACAGGGCAGGAACCAATCCTGGACAGGATGCCATTCCATCACAGGGTGCACTCACATACACACCCACACTCACTCACACTGGGACAATTTAGACATGCCAATTCACCTAACGTGCACTGGGATGTGGGAGGAAGCGCAGTACCCTGGAATACCCGGAGAAAACCCACACATACATGGGGAGAGTGTGCAAACTCCACACAGACAGTGGCTCTGGCCAGGAATCGTTTTAGTTTTTTTTTTTTTTTTTCCCCTCATCAATGTTATAACAAAATGATGTTGAAGAAAACAACATTATTCAAAGACCTGCTGTGTATATGGTGATAAGTGCCACGGAAAAAAGAAAAAGTAGAGCACGGTAAGATGGATTGGGAAAGGTAGGGGAGGATACCAAGTTGTGATTTTTTTTCAAGTTTTTTGCCCCCACAGTTTAATATGAAAGTTTTCAAACATACAGAAAAATTCAAAGAATTTTACAGTGAACACCCAATTACCCACCGCCCAGGATTCTCATTAACATTTTGCTATGCTTGCTTTATCATATATCTATCCTCCACATATCTTCTCCAACATTTTTAAAAATGAAAATTTACAAACATACTAAAATATTGGAAGAATAATACGGTGGGTACCACTGTATGTCTTCCTTATCAAGTCAACAATTTGACTTGTTTTGATTTGTTATATTTGCTCTATCTATGTATCTATGTATCTATCTATCTATATTTTTTGAACAGTAGGTGTTGCTCACTCACTCAGGCTAGAGTGCAGGGGTGTGATCATGGCTCACTGCAACCTCAAACTCCTGGGCTCAAGCAATCCTCCCACCTCAGCCTCACAAGTGGCTGGGACCACAGGTGTGTGCCACCATGCCCAGCTAATGCTCTATCTATCTATCTATCTATCTATCTATCTATCTATCTATCCCTTTTTCTGAACCATTTACATGTAAGTTTCGTTACATGTAAATGGTTCCATTATTCATCTGTAAGTTTTGATAACTTCCTTTAGCCATTCTTTGTTTGCTGGCAAGAAATTCTCTTAGCTTTCCTTTGTCTGAGAATGTCTTGATTTCCCCCTCATTTCTGAAGGATATTTTCACCAGATATAGCAGGCTGGAGTGCAGTGGTGTGACCATAGTTCACTGCAGCCTCGAAACTCCTGGCCTGAAAGTGATCCTCCTGTCTCAGTCTCCCAAGCAGGCTCCTGAGTAGGTGGGACTACAGGTGCACACCACGCCTGGTTAATTTTTTTATTTTTAGTAGAGACGAGGTCTCATTATGTTACCCAGGCTGGTCTCAAACTCCTGGCCTTGGGTAATCTTCCCGCCTTGGCCTCCCAAAGTATTGGAATTACAGGTATTAGCCATTGTGCCTGGCCACATTTGAATTCCTTTTCCTCTGTAGGTCAGGTGTTGTTTCTCTCTTGCTGCTTTCAAGTTTCCCATCTTTAGTTTTCAGAAGTTTGATTATGGTGTGCCTTGGGGTGAATTTGAGTTTATCCTATTTGGGGTTTGTTCAACTTCTTGAACCTGTTCATTTATGTCTTTTTCCAAATTTTCAGCCATTATTTCTTGAGTAATTTTTTTTAGCCCCATGCTCTTTCTCTTCCTCTTCCACATCTCTAATTACGTAAATGTTAAGTCCTTTGTTATAGTCCCAAGCATCCCTAAGGCTCTGTTCATTTTTTTTTTCTTTGAGACTGGGTTTCATTTTGTCACCCAAGCTAGACTGCAGTGGCACAATCACAGCTTACTACAGCCCCGATCTCCGAAGCTCAGGTGATCCTCCCACCTCAGCCTCCTGAGTAGCTGGGACTACAGGTGTGCATCACCACATCCAGCTAATTTTTGTATTTTTAGTAGAGACAGGGTTTCGCCATGTTGCCCAAGCTGGTCTTGAACTCCTGGGCTCAAGTGATCTGCCCACCTCAGCCTCCCAAAGTGCTGAGATTACAGGCATGAGCCACTGTGCCCAACTCTGTTCATTTCTTTCTAAGTCTATTATTTTCTCATTGTTGTTCAGATCGGGTAATTTCTAATGTTCTATCTTTATGTTCACTGATTCTTTTCTCTGTCCTCTCCATCCTCCTTTTGAGCTCATCCACTGAGTTTTTTAGTTTGGTTATTATAGTTTGTTCTAAAGTTTTATTTGATTCTTCATTATATCTCTTATTTATTTGCCAAGACTTGCTTTTTTTTTTTTTTTTTTTTTTTTTTGAGACGGAGTCTCGCTTTGTGCAGTGGCCGGATCTCAGCTCACTGCAAGCTCCGCCTCCTGGGTTTACGCCATTCTCCTGCCTCAGCCTCCTGAGTAGCTGGGACTACAGGCGCCCGCCACTGCGCCCGGCTAGTTTTTTGTATTTTTTAGTAGAGACGGGGTTTCACCATATTAGCCAGGATGGTCTCGATCTCCTGACCTCGTGATCCGCCCGTCTCGGCCTCCCAAAGTGCTGGGATTACAGGCTTGAGCCACCGCGCCCGGCCAAGACTTGCTATTTTTAAAATTTGTTTTAACCTTGTTTGTAATTGCTCATAGATTGCTCATAGAAGCATTTTTTTTTCTGTTGGCCACTTTAGAATCTTTGTCAGATAGTTGAAATCTTTCTCTTTCTCATTCAAATTGAAGGTCTCCTGGTTCTTGGTATAATGAGTGAATTTTTTTTTTTTTAAAGACACAGGGTCTCACTACATTGCCCAAGCTGACCTTGAACTCCTGGGCTCAAGTGATTCTCCCAACTCAGCCTCCTGAGTAACTGGGACTATAGGTGCTGGGCTTAGATATGGAGTGATTTTTATTGCATCCTGGGAATTTCTGGATATTATAGTATGAGACTCTGGATTTCATTTACATCTTTTGTTTTTGGTAGGCTTCTTCTGACACCATTTTCATCAGAGGAAAGGGCCACTGCCTGGTTACTGACAGGTAGAGGTTCAAGTTCAATTTCCTTCCTTGGCCTTGGTTGGTAGGTGTAGTGGGGGCTTCTCCTTTTTACCGTGCAGGGGTAAAAATTCCAGCTCCCTACTAGGCCTCCACTGATGCCTCCCTAGAAGGGGCAGAAGTGCCTTTTTACTGTTCCCCAGGTGGGCTTCCACTAACACCACAGTCAGGAGGTAGAGAGATTTTGGGAGGGGAGGAGAGGGAGGCTAGTGGCCTCACTAAATGATATGTTGTGGTGAAAGTCCTGACTCACCACCAGGTCTCCTCTGACACTGACACCACCCAACAGGAAGGGGGTCTTGTTATCCCTTGGGGATGGAAGTTTAGGCTGTATACTCAGCCTTCTCTGACACTACCCCAGAGTACAGGGGAGGCTGGCCAGAGTGAAACTCTAGGTTATCTACTTGGCCTTTGCTGGCTTGGGTGCAGCTACAGTTTTGTTTTTGTTTTTTTTTTCTGTGGTGTGTGGTTGCAGTGGGTGGTTACTGTCTAAGAGTTTTCTGTCTGGCCAAACTCCATTTCCTGGTCTTATGGCTAGAGAGAACAGGCCAGTTATTGGTGTTTACATTTTTTTTTTTTGTCTGTGCCCATTGGCATTTCCAGGCTGCTGGCTTCTCCAGTACCTGGTCTGGAATATTTGATGCAACAAGAAAACCCAGGGAACTCATCACCTCGAGTTCAAGTCACTGGGGTTCCTAGTTAGTCTGCCCCCTTCCTCTTCTTTCATAGTCTTCTTATGTTTGTCTTATATATAATGTCCAGAGTTTTAGCTGTACTTAGTGTGAGGAATAGGGAGAGGTGTGTCTATTCTAACTGGGTCCATAACTGGAAGTCTTCCATCTTTTTTTAAAAAATTAACTACATCAAGTTTTTGAAGAGTGCCAGTCAATTGTTTTGGATTTGTCTTTTTCCTCATGGTGTCATTTATCTCGTTCCTTTATACAGTACTCCCCCTCTTATTCATGGTTTTAACTTCCCATAGTTTCAGTTACCCATGGTCAACTGCAGTCTGAAAATATTAAATGGAAAGTTCCAGAAATAAACTTTTTATAAGTTTTAAATTGTATGCCGTTATGTAATGAAATCTTGTGCTGTCCTGCTCCATCTCACCCAGGATGTGAATCATCCCTTTGTCCAGTGTATCCACACTGCATACACTACACACCTATAAGTCACTTAGTAGCCATCTTGGTTATCACTTCAGAAAAATACAGTATACATAGGGTTTGGTACTATCTGCTGTTTCAGGCATCCACTGGGGATCTTGGAACATATTACCCATGGATAAAGGAGGACTACTGTACCCTGTATTTACTGTAAACTGGAAATTAAAATAGAGGGAATCTTAAATAGGTTGGTCAGGGTAGGCTTCACCAAGAACGTGGCATTTGAGCAAAGAATTGAGGAAGGTGAGGAAGTGAGCCATGCAGAAGAGTAAACCTGGCAAGGGGAGACCAGTGCAAAGGTCCTGGGTAAGGAGTGCAAAGGTCTTGGTAAGGAGTGCATCTGGCTTGCTCAAGGAACAGCAAGGAGAATCAAGTGGCTTTAACAGAGAGTAAGGGAGGGGAGAATGCCAGGAGACGAGATCAGAGATTTAATAAGGGACTAGATTGTGTAGGACCTTGTAGACCAATGTAAAGATTTTGGCTTTCCTCTCAGAGAGATGGAGTGCCATTGGAGGGTTTTGTGCAGAGAACTGGCATGATGTGACTTGGGTTTAGCAGGATTGGTATAGCTTCTTTGCGGAGAATAGGCCATGGGGCGAGGGTAAAAGCAGTGAGACTAGTCAGGCAGCTGCTGAAATGATCCAGCTGAGAGGTGGTTGTGCCTTGGACCAGCATAGTAGCACCAGAGATGATGAGAAGTGGTTGGATTCTGGGTGTATGTTGAAGGGAGAGCTGAAAGGATTTGCTGACAGATTGGATACAAGGTGTGGTTCCAAGGATTTTTTGCCAGGACAACTGGAGATGTGAAATTGCCATCAATTGAGATAAGGACAGTTTTAGGAGAGGTCATTTTTTGGGGAAAAGGTCAGCTGTTCAGAAATGAGCATGTTGAGTTTGGGATGTTTATGAGATATCCAATTGGAGATGAACACAGGCCCTGTCACCAAGGTGCTCAAAGTGAGAGAAATGGAAATATGGAAGCAGATCATTACCATACCCGTGAAAAGTGGTATTTCAGGAGGGTGTATAGAAAAGCAAGTTATCAATTCTGCTTGTTGGGGGGAAGGGGACTTAAGAAAAGTTTCACAAAGGAGATGATATTTTCAGTTTGGCCCCAAAGGGTGACTGGGCGTTCATTAGGCAGAAAAAAGAAATGTATTGTTTTCTGTACTCCTAGAACTGGCACACAGTGATTGCTCAATCAGACCCAATCCAGTCACTATTTTTGTGAGTTTGGACATCACTTAACCTCTCTGAGACTTGGTATTGTAATCTGTGAAAAGGAAATAATCACAGTGTTCTTGTGAGGGTTGAATGTAGAACACTTAGCACACTGCGTGGTACATAGTGGGTTAGTGTTAATTATGGTCAAATGAATGAATGAATATCTTCCTTAATGACCAAATCTAGGCTGGGCTGGTAACCCAGGAGTCTAGTCTTTTATATGATTAACAGTTTGTCAATAGAGATTGCTAGACTCCTTTCAACCTCTGGACTGCTCTGATTGAAAAATAAGCATTGATAAGCCTCGATTGAATGGAGAGGGTCAAACTGCCCTCCTCAGGCCCCTTCCTTATCCCTTTTGTCCTATCCCCTTTAACAGGTTCCTTCCTCCCTTCCTCCCACCCTCCCTCTCTCTTCATTTTTTAATGATTGTGAGCAAAATCCCTTCAGATTCATAGTGAGCTTCTCCTCATTCCATAGGCTCCCTGCCGCTCAGACTGGACTGGGTTGACAAGGCTGGGAGGAGGTCAGCCACACTGAGACACTGTGACACTTAACTAGGGAACCCCCCTCCCAACTGCTAGGGCTCCAGTCTGAGACCCCAGGGAGACAGTCGCCCCCTACGGACCAAAAGCAGCCCCACACCGCTGCAGGCAGCTCTGGTTGCTAGGCAACCAGGCGATGGAGGACTTCAGGAAGGGATTTTCAAGCAGAGAGACCGTTTCTCTCCCTTTCCACCGCCTCTTCTGCTCCTTCAGCAAATAGACGGGGTTGGGACCGCGGTCCGCTGCTGTCTGATAAACTGGGCTCCTTCTTGAAAATAGAGCTTCACTGGGTGACCTCCATTTTGTGTGTGGTGAAACGATCTCTCTTGCCCCAAATGTGGTTTCATCTGGGGGCTGGAGACTCGGGTCGCTGAAGGTGGAAGTTTCTGATTTGCAAGGAGGGGAGGAGCATTGTTGTGGGTGTGCACGCTTAGTCAATGGGAATTCTAGCAAATTGAGCTTGCGTGGGAATAATTTTGATCAGTCCATCAAGATTTCCTCACGATTCCCAATGTATACATTAGGAAACTCTTACGTTAGCCCATTAAAATAAAAAGGTCCATTGGAATGACAATATATAAAGGATCATTCATACCTCACTAGGGACAAGTTTTCCGTGGCTTTCATGAATACGGTTTCTCTCCAGACAAGGGAGAGATCATGAGGTCTGTGAATCCCTGTGAGTAGGGACAGAGCCCAACAAAATGGAAAGAAATAAAAAGAATGGCGGGGTTGGGGGTGTGGTAAGCACAGAATCTGGCAGCTTCTGAGCTCTGTGTCTGGTTTGGGGATCCCCAGCTCTGTGCCCCCTGTGTTAGGACCATGCTGAAGCACTCCATCCTTATGAAGGCTGTGAGGGACCAGAAATCCCTAGCTTTTCCTTCTAGTAACCTAGCATTCTGGCCCAGGAGTGGGCCCAGGCAGGCCAAGGCCATGATCAAAACAATCTTTCCACTTGGGACGCATCTCTTCCTTCTCAGCTAGTACAACAGAAGCTTGATTGTGGCAGAGCCCCAAGCCATGGCAAGCTTAGGGGAGAGCTGTGCCCAGGAGTCTCCTCGTGGGCTTTCCCTCCAGAGTTCCAAGGTAGAGATACCCGGGTGAGGTAACTGGCAGCCAGAGAGCATCTGGCCCAGCCACTGCTCAGTCCACATCTCCACAGGGCATGGTGGCAGGGGATGCTTCTTGCTCTCTGTGTTTCCAAACTGAACTGGGTCGGGGCTGTGCTCCTGCTCTATTAATAGCCCCCTAGCCCAGCCTGCTAGCCCCAAACCCGGATGCCAGGAGCGGTGAGTCAGCAGCTAAAAATAACGAAGAGCAACTACATCCGAACCCCAATGAGCAGCTCCCCCGGGTCCTCCGCCCTTAAGTTTTTGTCAGTGTCAGAATCCAGCCCAGGGCCTATAGGTTAAGCCGCTATAGCTGTCCAGTTCTCCTGGGAAGAGAGTGAGGATTTCCGGTGGCAGGCTCAAGGTTGCGTACCCAAGGCTGGGGGCTAGGAGAAAGGGGTTAGAGGCTGGGGCTGGGTGCTGTCGTTCAGGTTGGGGGGCCAGACGCTGAGGTTAGAGGACCACAGCTGAGAGTGTGAGAGCTGAGAGGCTGGGGCTGCAGGGATGGAGTTGCTGGAGGTCTCCAAGGTGAGGTTGGGAGGTGAGGGGAGGAAGAGACTGGGCGATTGGGAAGGGACATTAAAGTAGGGATGGGGGAGGAGGTACGTGCTGAGAGGTGACAGCCGGGCAGTACCAGGCCGACTGGGGGCCCTAGAGCTAAGGCTGGTAGCCAGTCTGACGGGGGGGGGATGAATCGGGAACCGGGAAAAGTAAGGGAACGCCGCTCGAAAAGGCGGAGTGTGGGAGAGACCTGCCCGGTACACAGCGGCGTGGACCCCCAGGAAGACCAGGACCGGAGCACTGACTGCGGCGTTCGTTCTCCGTGCGCCTCCAGCCTCCCCACGCGTCGCATGCTGGCACCCCCGCCCACCGTGCCAGCTGCAGGCCAGGTACGTGGGCGCGGCCGGCCGCCGGAGCCGGAGTGTGCAGGGATACGCAGAGAGGGCGGGGCGGCCAGAAAGGGAAGGGGTGGGCCCGGGAGAAGGGGACGGGAACACGGATTCAAACTCGCTTGCGTCCAGCCGGAGACCGGAAATGGCCGGGGACTCACTGGGAACTGTAGTTCCCGAGGCTGCCCAGCAACCGAGGGTGGGGGGCGGGTCTTGTCCCGATGATGCCAGTGCTGCCCCAGGGTCTGGCGAGAGAGGAGGAACCGAGAACCGGACCTCCCTACCTGGCCAACTCCTTAGTTCTACTTCCCTCCGTGTGGAGATACGAACTAGGTCGAATGTGGGTGTGGCGGAAGACTGTGGGGTCACCACAGAGCCCCTCTTGTCCCCGTTTTTGCCTTAGGCCCTCCCTGCTTCTACTAGACTCTTCATCCTCGGTCAGCTCCGCACTGGCCACCTTAGCTGCGGAGCCCAGGGACTCCCGAGCCGCAAACGCATTGGGGAACTTGCTCCTCGAAGGGAAGGCTGGGCCGGAAATTGGACCCTGCTCGCAGCCCAGAGGAGCGAAAACTTGTGGAAATCGGACCTTGCCCTCGGAGTCCTGAGTCAAGGACACGAGTCCCCAAGCGGCACGGAAAACAGGTGGCATTCAGCAAATACGTCATGGCGACAACGGATGCGGCCCTCCTCTTGGGGCGGCCACAAGGTGGAGCTACAGCGCAACCCTGCACCGCGCGCCTGGCCTCCGGACGCCCCCGAGGTGGCTGCTCTCCCGCGGGCCTCCCGCGAGTCCTTCATTGCCGCAGGTGATTCTCCTCCCACCTCCAGTCCACCTCCTCCCATCTCCCCATGATGGCCCCTCAAGGTCGTGTCCCATCCAACCACAGATGGAAGGTGCTTCCTCTCCCCAGCCCCTGAGCCAAAAAGATTAGGCTGTGACCAAATGGAGATTACATTCTTTGAGTAACACATTAAGACAAGATACAGGAACCAACCTGCCTTGAAGAAAAGGCTGCGCACAGCAAAAAGCCACCTGTAAGCACAGAATTACATGGCTAGATGGGCTCTTCAGCTTCTGGCCTCTAGGCACGAAAACAGCTAAGTTGCAAGGGTCGGGGAAGACAGTATATCGTGGAGTGTCGATGGTGTCTCTATCGTCTTACCGTTCTCCGGGAAAGACCATTTCGTTATCTCCTTCAGTCCCTCTTCCAAGCTATCCCACCCCGACACACCCTGTGCCTTCTATGCAAGAACACGTGCACACAAGTCTGAGACATTATCCGAGCAATCTGCCTTTTACTTCCTCTGTTCTAGTTTCATTTGGGGGAAACTTCTCATGACTCACTGTGTTCCCAAACATCTCAGGTCAAAACCCCAAGGGGAGCAGATCCCATAGCAGCTTACGGAATGCCCATCACCTGGGCAAGGGACCCTCATGGTTCAAAATCTCCTGTTGGCAAAGCTCCCCTCACTGCAACCCACCACCCCTGAAGCATTCCATTTCAGCTGCTCTCCAACCCTTGCTGTTTGCGCAATGTAGACTGGCTTGGGTGGGGAGGCAGGGCAGGGCATTCACTCCATCATGAAATTGTTGATCCTCGTCAGCAGCACTGCTGTTTCCAAGCCTGGGGAGGAGCGGGAGGGTAGGTCATCTAGGGAGTTAAGCAAGGGGAAAGCTACAGGAGGAGAAATATGAGGTGAGGGGAGAAAGTTCTTACCAGTTTTCCCTCTCTTCTTAACAAATCTCCTGTGGGGAGAAAAGCTTCCCATTGTGAGTTCAGCTAGCTTCAAGCAGGTCCTTCCAGCCCCCACACCTGCTCCCCTAAGTGCTTTTCCCATGTTCAAGCCAATTTGATAGTATAAGGAAGGGCCTAAAAATCTCAAAGGAACTAAACAGACCCTCAGCCCTGGGCAGCATATATGAGTCTGAAGCAGCCTCATCACCAGGGCCCTGGAGAAAGTAAGGACCCAGAAAGCTGAGGCACAAAGCACTCACCTTTGGAGGAGGAAGGTCCACAAAAGCAGCATGGTGGAGACAGAATTGGTAATGACCCATATGATTAGGTAGGTTTGAGGGGTCTGTGAAAATAGGAAAAGGTCCCAAGGGTAGTATATCAGGGGAAATAAGTAAGGAAGAGAGGGACAGAATTAAGGAAAACCAGGGATGGGAGAAGAAGAGGAGAGGTGACAGTCCCAGAGCCCTTACAATAAGCCAGATAGGGTAACGCATCTGCTGCAGCAGCTGGCAGTCGTTGGTGGTGACCGAATCCACCCCTGCACACCAAAGCAGGGAGAAGAGCCAGGGTTTGTTCACTACAAATAGGTTCACCGAGACATTATCCTTGTGCAATGCCCTGTGAAGGTGGGAAAGAAAATAGGGAACATCCAGAATCATGGTGCACGGGACCTGGGAGGCAGCCCCCTGCCTGTGCTTGAATCTACAGTGCCACTGCCAAGGAGGTATCAGCTCTGCCTTTCCATAGCAGCCCCTGACCAACAGTGATTTTCCTTTCATAGCTGAACTCTGTCTTCTGATGGATTCCGCCCATGGGTACTAGCTTTGCTATCTGGGGCCACACAATGTGTCTCTCCCCTGGGTTCTGAGCAGAGGCCCTGTCTCCCTGAGCCTTCTCTAGGCCCCACAGCTCCAGCTCCTTCAGCCATTACTCTTATTATTTCCTTCCCTGTATAAGCCTCTCTAATATGATATATTCCAATTTATCAATGTTCCTTTGAAAATATGGGGCCTGTCTCTGAAAATAATATCCCAAATAGGCTTGGACCAGCCTTTTTTTTTCGAGACAGGATCTTGCTCTGGAGTGCAGTGGCACGGTCTTGGCTCACTGCAGCCTCGACCTCCTGGGCTCAAGTGATCCTTCTGCCTCAGCCTCCAGAGTAGCTAGGATGATAGGTTGGCACCACCATGCTCAGCTAAGTTTTTTTTTTTTTTTTTTTTTTTTTGTAGAGATGGGGTTTTGCTATGTTGCCCAGGCTGGTCTTGAACTCCTAGGTTCAAGTGATCCTCCCACCTTGACCTCTCAAAGTGCTGGGATTACAGGTGGGAGCCACCATGCCTGGCCAACTTGAGTCAGCTTTGAATAGAGCAAAACTATCTCCTCCTGTCCTCTGGGCACTATGCCTGTATTCAGGTAGCCCAGAGTCAGGTTAGCCTTTGGCAATGTTACATCCCACTGATGACTCCCTATGTATACTGTTCAATGAAAGCCCTGATCTTTTTCACACACGTTCCTGTTGATGCCAGTGTCTCCTCTCTGGTCTTCATGCAACTGAAATTCTTTTGGGCCCCAAATAGAGGTCTTTACATCTATCCCTGGTGCATTTCATCTTGCTAGATTTGGCCTATCTTTTTACAGCACCTAGACCTTTCAGGGCATCGATTCCACCATCAGTGTGTTCATCACCAATTCACATCATTTGGAAACGTGATCAGCAGTTGATTAGCAGCTGGTGTTGACCAGGACAAGACTAAGGTGAGAGCCAAACCCTATGTCATGTCTTCCTCTTTGGTGATAACTTGGGGAAAGAAATACTTATATAGCTAGGTGAAGTGGCTCATGCTTATAGCCGGGAGGCTGAGGGCGGCAATGGCTCAGGCCTGTAATCCCAGCACTTTGGGAGGCCAAGGCAGGAAGATTGCTTGAGGCCAGGAGTTTGAAACCAGCCTGGGCAGGTAGTAGGAACCTGTCTCTACAAAAAAAAAAAAAAAAATTAGCCTTGCATAGTGGTGTGCACCTATAGTCCTAGCTACTCAGGAGGCTGAGGTGGGACAATCACTTGAGCCCAGGCGTTCAAAGCTGCAGTGAGCTATGATCAGGCCACTGCACTACAGCCTCGGTGACAGAGCAAGACCCTATCTCTAAAAACATTTTTTTAATTAAAATTCAAATTAAAAAAAGAAATATGTATGATAACTGGGCTATCATTCAGTTCACGTTTTTCTATCTGAACACAAGGACCTTATAAGAAGCTTTAGCAACCAGATGCTTTGAAGTCTGTCATGGTTCAGCTGGGTCAGCTTCTGGGGTTCAGCTCACATCTGGGACTCTCCCTGATTCATGCTGTCTTACCCTGATCTCTTTGTTGTGGAATAAAATCCTTCCCGTGGCCTACAAGGTCCTACCCAATTTGACCCCTGCCTGCTTCTCTAGCTTCCCCTTCCCCTTGCTCATTAGGCTGCTGTTCCTGTTCTGCAGCTCGTAGTTAGCTCCTTGCGACCATTCAGGTCTCAGCTTAGATATCACCTCTTTAACCAGCCTTCCTAATGTGGCTGCACCCACCTCCCTGCTCCAGCCCATCACTCCCAAACCTAACCACTCTTCTACATCTCTCTGTTTTGTCTTCATAACACTTTTTCACTTTCCAATATGCATGTATTTTGTTAAGTGACTTATTCTCTGTTTCTTTCAGTAGTACGTGTATTCCACAAAAGCAGGAACCTTGTCTGTCTGATTCGTGTTGTGTCCCCAAAGCCTGCAATACTACCTGATACATGGCAAGTGTTCTGTAAATACTTGTTGTATGAGTGAATGAATGAAGAGGCTTTGCTCTCCCTGAATTGGTTCTTCCCTGCCATTAAGCCTCATGTGATCCGCTTGGTTCCTTTCCTCTAGCACTCACTTGATATCCAATAGTGGCAGATCTTGATAGGGGAGGTTGAGAAACTGGGGCCTCTCAGTTCTGTTGCCTCCCTGATGTCCATATATCTGGCGCATTCCAGGTGCCCGTCGTTGGACATTAGCACGATCTTCATCTGGTAGCCAAAAGACCTGTGGTTCAGGAAGGATGGGTGTGAAGCTGGGGAAGACCTAGGGATTCCAAGGGCAGGGACGGGGCAGAGAGGTTTGACCACAGAATGGGGTATGTGAGCTGGGGCAGGGCCCTGGGGCTAGGGGCAGCCTCAAAATCATCATCATCATCATGGCCTGGGGAAGGCAGGGTGGGGAGAGGGGGTCCTGGAAACATCACCATGGTTTGGGGCACCCTTGCATTCAGCACAGTCTCCAATGTCTGGATCACAAAAGTGTCATAGTATGTGTGGTTTTGTGGGGGTCGGCGCAAGTCGAACATGATGGAAAGGTTGAGGGCTGCGGCTTCCTCCAATAGCTCTTCTAATGCTGGTACTGTCTGATTCTCAGCCTCTTTCTGATCAGGGCCTGCCAGCGGTTTGGCCCCCCAGAAGGGTCGCCTCTATAAGAAAGAACAATTATTTCAAGACCAGAAGAGGCCTCCCGGCCTTGCCCCCATCCTCACTATCTTCACTCATATCTTCCACTTGGTGTCCAGCTTCTTTCCACCTCTGAGCCAGGGCCTTTTTCCAAACCGTGGCCTTCTTCCAGACCATCTAACAACTTACTCTGTGACCTCAACCTCCTGCCCTTCCAGTTTCCTAACTTCCTCTCTCCCACTACATCTTCTCGTTGGTCTCGAGGAGAGCTCTGCAATCTTGACCCTTTGATTTCTTCCCAGTTCATCAGCCCCTTTCTAGCTGCACCTACATCCCCTACCCATGGTTCATCCACAGCTTGAACTACTTTTCCATAGCACTCTCAGCTCCCTTTCTGTCCCGCTTGCCCTACAACTCCCAGACTGATTCAATTGTACAATTGTCTGCCTCCTCTACCACTAGAACTGGGGACTGAGCACTGCCACGGGCAGAGTACAAAATGTGGGCTCTTGGCACTGCAGTCCTTATTTTTCGCTCTCAGCACTGCTTAGCAATCCTTTTACTTGCTCTTGATTTGCTCCCTCTTCCATTCCCCCTAGTGTTATTCCAAGCCTCTGCTACTCTCCTCTCCTCTCCTTATTCTCAATGAATGACCTCACTTCCTAATTGCTGACATGGATAAAGCTAGCTATCTAACACTTATTAAGTACTTACTATGTGCCAGGCAGTGTTCTGAGTACTTTATGTGTATTAACTGATTTAATCCTCCCAATAACCCTACAAGGTAGGTACTGTTATTATTCCCATTGTACAAATGAGAAAATTGAGGCACAGAGAGACTTAAGAAATGCTGCCTCGGGTCACACAGCCAGTAAGTGGTGGAGCCAGGGTTTAAACCCAGACATCCTTTGCTCTTAATCACTCTGATCTGATATGATATAAAGAATTAAATGGAAAAGAAGCAAATTGCAAAAGAGTCTGTGTAATGATTCTATTTGTGCAAAATAGAGAGAGAGTGTGTGTTTGTGTATCAGGTGCACCTTGACTTATGATGGGGTTGTATCTTGATAAACCCATTT